ATTAACTCTTTTTGATTCTGAATTTGCACATTTTTCTTCAGTCTGATCTTTATTATGAAAAACTCTGAGCAGTTAGCTTTCGTAGAGTAACTGCTATTAGGCACTTAGAAATAAAGATGTGGGTGGTGTGCCTTGTGAGGTACCAACTGGCATTAATTTGAGGCTGAACTTTGCACTAAAGTCCTAATACCGCTGTGGTTTTAAAATAGAAGCCATGTCTCTTATGAAAACATATATTTTTAGAATATTCACATAGATTTTTCTTCCTGTTTCATTTTTGGACACTGAATATTAATTAAAAAACTTTAACGTTTTACTTGGTGCAAAGAGAAGTAATAGAGGGAAGTTTAGAACATAAGAAATCTTAACATTTTTTATAGGCTGAAAATGAAAATAATTTTAAAGCTCATTTATGAATGATATGCATTTATTTACAATAAAATTGCTAATACTTCTATTATTAAGCCATTTAATAAAGCAGATGAGGTATAAGGCGCTCATGCATTTCGTTACCTTTAAAGAATATCAAAGCATGCTCCAGTACACTTCAGTTCAATTTTTTATGAAGTATTTATTCTTGCCAGACTACCTTTTAATGTACTTGCTTTATCATACTGAAGAAAAGCATTTTTTCCATTTTCATCTTGACTGATCGTTTGGCAAGTTTAAACAGATGCTCACTTGTTTTTTATTCCAGCTGGTTGGTAGTAAGGTACACATAAATGTAAAATCTGGCAGTTTGAAATAAAGACGTGGCTTAGAATATACACTATTTCTATATGTTTTTAGCTAAATCAGATGAATAAGTGACGATGGAAAGGGACATGATTGCCTGAAATGGGAAGGGAAAAGGAGTAGTTCAAAAATATTTCACCTAAGTAGGAATGTCAGATTTTTTTTTTCCCAAAAGCATTTTGCAAAGATGTTTTGAAAAGATAATGTTGCACATTCAGACAATGACACAAAATTAGCAGGTAATGACCTTCCCTGTTTGATTTGACAGTTGCTACTCGACTAAACTGTAACAGTAGACAAATAAATTGGTAAGCATTGGATACATGGAGTTCTTGTACTGCATGTCATACAAGGCAAAATGCCACAGTCAGAAATACAAGAAAGGAAAGTGGTCAGTAACAGTTTATAAAGCACCAATTATAAAGCAACCAAACAGTTTATAAAGCATCAATGAAGACACAAGTATTTTGAAAGAACTGAGTATACTTATGTACAATCAAAGTGTCTGGAAAGCACTGGATTAGCAGTCCTGGCAAGTACTTAATATCCTTAGTATTACCCTATCCTGATTACATCAAACAATTTTTGACTTATGAAGTATTCCCTGCAGCTGCAGGTGCAGTGTCTTATTACAGTGTTCATCTTTTCAGCGTTTTCTAGTGCAATGTCAAAGACATGTGTAGGTCCTGTGTACACAGAAAAGGGGACATTGAGGAAAACTGCATCAGCAGGATTGTGGCTACTGGCCACTGTAAAGTAGGACCCCCCTCTTTTCCTTCCCACTTAACAAATCAATGAGACCATCTTCTAGGATAACAGCGAAGTACCTGTTCCAGACTTTTCCACCCTGAATATTTCCATTGTTTATATTTCTACAGCAGGGAGCTAAAAAATGAAATATTTCTAGCTTTGCCTCAGCTCTATATGTCTTCCAAGTAAGATGACTCAAAGGAATGGGAGTTGATAAGTGGTCTGCAACCACTTTATTCACCAAGTCAGTAGGTGACCAAGATGGCTGTGGATTGCATTCTGTCTCAGGTACAGATGGAAGGCAGATTTGTCTTGGACCAGTGTTAAAGTGAACTGCTGAAAGGCCCAGCCCTGCAATGAGTGAGGAGCTAAAATACAGAATATTCCGTGAGGTGAGAACCAAGAGTGCAGGAAAACGACTTTAAGCACAGGGAAAGGCCTTTTCTTGTTTGTTTGTTTGTCTTTCCTTAAAGAAAGTAGGCTACCCTGTGCAGTTTTCTCAATGATTACAATTTCTCAATGTGAACACCTGAGTTCACAAATCTTGTCTTGATTTGTGGCATTATCTGAAGGATCAGATCGGGTTATGACATTTTTTGGTCAATTGTCTCTAAGCTTATGGACATATACTACTGCTACAAATTGATTCAAGGAACTGCTAGCAAAGTGTCTCTTGATCATGTTGGCTTTCTTCTAATCTTCATTCTCCCTGCTGACTCAGCAGTAAGTGCTCCCTTTATTGCTGAAGCTGCATGAGTCAGTAGAGTCCTCTGCCGGATGCCTTGTGTAGCTGCTGTGAAGAACCCCAGGGCCCTGAGGAGATGTACACTGGGTCCAAGTAGCTCTTTGTCTTGTCAGTTCCAGCCTGTTCTTTGGCCGTGATCTCTATGAGTGAAAATGGCAAAGGTATTTTATCCTGTACTATATTTTACATTCCATGAGAAATAAATGTACATAGTATTGTTTCCTAAACTGACAGGAAGAAGTAATGCCTTGATTCTCATATTTTGCTTTCTGTGTATCTAGAAACATGTGTACACACACAGCTCATTCACATGACCCTAGAGAGGACTTTCTTCTTCTGTGCTGCATCTCTGTATGTTTGCATGAGCAGCTTTCTAGTCTTGATTCAGAGGAGGTAATGAAGGCAACCACAGGGTACACTGGTGTGTCCTAGTCACGTAAGAGTTCAGGATGGAGGCTGACCTGTTCTGCTCAGGTGAGATGTTTAGGTGAGATGAATTTGCAGTCTGCAGATACAAGCATATCTTCAGTTTCAGACATCAGCACCAACAGGCCTTTGGAAGTCAGTGGAAAGGGGCACGCAAAAGTCACCAGCCCAGGTCTCTTCCTCCAAATAAATACGCTGGTACAAAATTGCCTCCCATGCAGTGATACAGGGTAGATCAGTCAGATATATCCCCAAACAGGTTTTTGCAGGCACACTGTGAATGCTTATGGAAGAGGTATGATGTCTGAAGACTACTTGTTATGTGCTGCAGATGTACCTTTTCCTCATTTCTTTTCAGTATTTGACATATCTCTACCACTGCCAAAGTGTCATTTTGTGCTGTTGTATTTTTGTGTTATGATAATCTCTTTCAATAGGAATGAGGATGGGAGTGGAAGCAATTCCCTAAAGTTTGATTTTATGAGTGAGGGAACCTCCAGACACTGTAAATGAAGCAAATGTGCCTTATTTTACTCCTACACCTCCATTTTTTTTCTAATTGCTTATTTTTGGTTTTTCTCTTTTTTTCCATTTCTTCACTCTTGTATTTAATGATACTACACTGAATAATCATATCTTTTTAACTATGGATTTTAAGTGTTTCAAAAGATAGCACAGTAACTATTCTATAGACACAAAGATGTCAAATTACTTTGCCAAGGTAACAGATAAAAATGAGAATAGAACTTTTTCTTCCTTTATCCTTCAACTACAACCTGTGGTGCTCTTTGTGCAGAACCATGACGCTGGATATAAAAAGCTGGGATGTGTTTACATAAGACATTTAAGAAAATTAAAATCTTCTGTAGTAGAAAGGAAATGAATGCCTTGACCTCTTTATACATTTATGTAGAAGTTTAATTTTATTCATAGGAGTAATTTCTCAGAACTCAATGGGATTACTCATTTGGTGCATAAAGTTTAACAGATGTAAGTGCCTTCAGGGTGAGAACTTATTGTGGATAACATCAACATTATCAGAGTTGTTTTCTGTTTTCTTTCTAATTCCATGCTCTTGACATTGGTTTGGTTTGGTTTTGGGTTGCTTTTTTTGTTAATTATTTGATGTCCTTCATAAAGAACTCTAACAAGACAAGGGGACAACTAGTCCTTGTCTTCTGTACTAGGTGAATACAATTTCATCTGAAACAGATGAAAATAGACAGAGTGAGATGAAAAACAACATGCACTATGAAAATCCATGAATACAGAGAAGTTACAGCTTATACTTAAAACAAACAAGACATCAAAGCCTTTGCTGGCTTCTGTATAAAGAATAAGTATTATTTAAATACATAGATACTGAGGTTTTTTACAGAGGTCTTGTTCACGTCTTCTTGCTAATTTGTCTATTTTTACAACTTTACTATATTTTGCAAGCCATTTTTCCAGGTAAAAATTGGTATAACTAAATTTACCTTTGAAAAAATTAAATGTAAGTGATTTAAAATTGGTAGTTTTAAGGGAACACCATCTGGTATGCAGTTATTTAAAAAGCCCATGAACATATTACATGACAACATTAATATGCAATTAAATAAGCGTAAAAATCTAGATTAACAAGTCAGTTCAAACTGCTGATTATGATTAATTTTGTAAATAAGTTTGCCATAATTTTGGATCTCTGTTAAGACCCCTGGTGAGATGTAGAAGGGATTTTTGTAGGATACACACTATAGCAGTATTTGAGGGGGTTAGTTGTACTTGAGGGGATAAGAACCGATAGAATTCACTCAGCATTTTGTCTACCATTGTCTTATTAATAAACACCTATAATAATGAAGGATTTGCAAAACTGGATTTTTAAGAGGTTTCTTTATAAGCTCACTTTCTATGAGTGACTTAGAATCACACTGAAAGTTATGACAGATATGGAATTACTATGTTTTAATGTATTAATTTAAAATACCAATGAAAAATTATTGGTCATTGCATTTTTTAGTGGCATTTCATATTATTTTTACATTATTTGATCAGGTTGCCTTTGTCACTGACATTCCATTGCTTTATATCTAGGGTGAGTTATGAACAGTCCCTGTAGTATTACACTGATTAACTTAATAGGAAGCTATGTGCAAAATAAGCGCAAATAAATAAATAAATAAACTAACCAAGTGCACAATCCATCCCTGTCAGCATTCCCAAGACACAAGTGAAGGATGGTATTGCAATTTCTTAGTGTCAGCGATTTTGAGTTTGAGAAGATACAAACTTTGGTTTGACAGAGGTAGTCTTCAAAAAGATAAAGCAGTTAGTAAATATTTTTATTTGTTTTGATTTCTAGGAAAGTGAAGGTCAGTTGTTACAAACTGCTTAGGGAGACAAGCTGACAGGAAGATAAAGGGAGAATGCTCCAGGAGCAGAAAGATGGAGGCCTTCATGCATTCTGAGAGCCTCACATTCTGGTAAGGAGGCTAAACTATTAAAATTCTTCTCTTACTGCATGCCAGTCTAACCCATGTTGCAGCACAAACATTGTTCAGTGGCTTGGATTGTAGATATGTCCTGCAGGAGTAAGTTTCAGTGTGATGCTGTGTATGAAAACCTTGATAAATGGCTGTTAATAGTTCAAAGGCAACTTTTAATAAATGTTTAAATATTTGATGTGTCAGAAAACATGACAGTGACACCAAGCAGTTTTAGCTATTTGATGAATAAAGAAGGTGGGAATCACCCTGGCTGACTCTGGGCAAAATAGGGTGTTCTGGTGCTACTTAGTCACCTACATTCATTCTTTCATGCTGTATCCCTTAGAAACCACTCCAGCACAGGATGTTTCCCTTCCCTGGGCTCCCTTTTTTGTCCATTGACCCCAATGGCAGTCCAGTCAACTAGCTTGGATCAGATGCCAACATTTTAGATGGCTGAAATGAGGCAAGATAAGCTATGCCTAAAATTTGCCAGCTCTCCTTCCACAAGTTTCTCCTCTCTGTTTCTGTATCTATCCATATATAACGCCTCAATATAACCTGTAGACTTCAGCCCACATGCATGCGTGTGTCTTCATGAACACATATACAAGCACATTTGTCTGACAGATTTTTTTTTAAAGATCTGATTCAGTCTTTAAAAAGCAACTAGTATGTATATGATAAATGAGAACTTGAAAAGTAAGGCATCACCTCTGTCCTTTCTGAAGTATTTCAGAATACTGTTAGCAAATAGCATTTCCCCAAATAGCAGCCTTCTTTCTGTTGGAAGGATGGTTCACTGCTACTCACTGCTGAAATAAAATACTGTAGCCTATCCCCACAGTGTTGCACTATTTTGCTGGATCTCTGGATATTTAGCAGAGACTGTGTTAAACACTATATTCTTCCCACAGCTCATCTCACAGGTAAAAATGCACTGCTGTAAATTAAATATACAAGTAAAATACATGGGTAAAAAATGTTTACAGCTTTTTAACTGTGATAGAGTGGAGGCAGGGCTGTGGCTATCTAACTATTTTTCAGGAGGTGAGAAATATTCTTAGTGTCCTAATGGCTGTGTTGTCGTTATAGTTGCACAAAGGTTTAAGAGCCAGAGGAGTGAGACCTCCTACTTACCATCTAGATGACATTGTTTACACAATTAGTATAAGCAATACGTTAACTGAAGCTGCACAGACCATCCTCTATAATTCAGTCTTATAAATCAAAGAAGGAATAGTGTTATAGCATGGTTGCCTTCTATGTATTAAAAAAAATTAAAAAGACAAAAAAAGCCCCTGCTCTGATACATAATTTGCTTTGGGTATTTTTATAGCAATTTTGGCTAGGTTTGATCAAATTGTGCCTTATCTTCAGGGCTTCAAGTTAAAAAAAAAAAGGCAGGTATGACTCCAAACTCAGCAGGAATTGGCTACCAGTGCAGTCAGAAGAAGCTGAGAGCCTAGACACCCACTTTCACATAGGTAAAATTCTGTCTAAGAGGGAGGCATGAGGTCTAGAACTGCTGAAGTCACTGGTAGCTGGAGGCCATGAATGTCTAACTGTTACAGAAACAACACATTTGCTCCTGTAAGAGGCAGAGCTTCTGGGCTTGGGCTCCTGTCGATTTCTAAGCTACACAGGAAATTCCAGAGACAATGCATTTATCACTTATCTAGGATTAATTATTCTGTTCCTTCTGATGGCAGAAGGATGAAAATTCCTGACATGAGCATTATTCCAGGTGAAGAGACAAAAGACGATTGTAAAATACCTCTAATATTAATATAAGGAAGCATAAATAATACATTTCTACATTTCAGGTTTCACTGATTTGATGCTGAATTCACAAATTAACCTACATCTTGAAATGTGTGATTCCTGGAAAAATGAAGTTCAGTTAATCCTTCCCACTGAGTCACCTCCACATCCCCATCTCTGCACCAGCTGGGGTTCCTCTCCATGTGTGTGGTGTTAGAGCTCTTACTTTAACTGAGGCTCTGCCAATCCCTCCTCTCAGCATATCTTCTCTAAGGAGGTCACCCTTGGTCTCCTTCAGTTTCTTGAACATGACCTTGGTGGCAGAGCAGCTCATCTGATGCTGTTCAGTGTTCGCTGCCCAGAGCCAGTCAATAGGTTGACTTTTATGCAGAAGTGAAGAAGTTAGAACAAATAGCACTGTGGCAGGTTTTTCTTTCTGTGGTATCTTAGATTTACTGAAAGACAGATCAGATGATTTTCTGTTACATTACCATTAACTAGTTTTTGGCAGTGATATTTTAATATTGTATGAATCATATTTCCAGTAGGCTGGAAGGTTTCTAAGAAGAAAGCAAGCTATGGCTCGTATTTAAGATACCAGGACTAACAGGTTTAAGTCATTGAGGTCATTTCAGACTCATAAAAGATTGTTAAAATACTCTGCTAGACTGTAATGATTTTGTACAGCAGAGTCTTTTCTGCAAACCAGTAATGCTTAATTTTTCAGTTTAAAGTAATGCATATATACCTGAACATATGCAGACACTATTGAAATATTATGTGGACTTTTTTCTAGATTAGGTAAATAGTATTTATTTTCTAAGTGTTACACTTTATATTTTGTTTTAAAACTGGCATCAGTGCTTTTGGGTGAAGGTATGGAAAATAAGCTGGAGATTCAGCTTCAAGTTAGCATACACTTTGATGGCCTTGGTCAAAAATAAATCTAGTGACTGTGACACAAAAGTATATTGTGAGACTGAAGTTCTCAAGGGTAGTGTGGAAAGGATTTCTATGATACTTGAACCAATGTAGTAATCCAAAGATGTCCCATAATTCACTGAAAAGAGGTTTTTTCCTTCCCTGGTCAACAGAAAACACGCAATGCCAAGGACAGAAAGTTTCAGTGTATCTGAGAAATATTAGTTAACAGTTAAACTTGAAATGCCAATAAATACTTAAAGGAAAAAATAAAGAGATTTCATTATTCCAGGGGAGAAAATGTTGTAAAAAGTGTATCGGTATATCATTTTTGGAAACCACATTTTTAATTTTAATTGGGAGTTTAGAAAAATTTAAATTTCTGCTTTTCTAGAACAAAGCAAAGTCAAATTATTTTGAATTTCCCCTGTGGATTTTTTTTTTTTCAAGGTTTTTTGGTTTTGGATTTTTGTTTCAGTTAAACCCCTTCCCTTCCCTTCCCTTCCCTTCCCTTCCCTTCCCTTCCCTTCCCTTCCCTTCCCTTCCCTTCCCTTCCCTTCCCTTCCCTTCCCTTCCCTTCCCTTCCCTTCCCTTCCCTTCCCTTCCCTTCCCTTCCCTTCCCTTCCCCTTTCCCCTGTTCTTTGCCAATTTGCAAGATTGCTATATGCTTTTTAAAAGTCAACTAGATGTCTTATTCTGTGTGGCCCAGAACAGACTTATAAACTCCTTTTTTTAATCTCTGATACCATAGACCAGCATATGAATATGATTAATATTGTATCAGTGATAAACAATGCCAAGCATGCATTACAGGGAGAAAAGAGATCTGTCAGTGCATTTTTTTTTTACCTGGTATTTTAACGCATAAAAGATTTGCATTTACATTTCATCCTAGGTTTTGAGTCATTACAATTAGAAGTTGCATAATAATTCAGCAGTACAGTTTACCAGCTGCTAGTTTTCATATAAACACAGTTTATAGCATCTTACTTTGTTTTGGAAAATAAAGAGAATATTATTAATTTTTAATGAATAAATTAAAATAAATCCCATTAGAATTATTTATGATTCCAATATTTTTAAACTTTAATATGGCAAATATCTCTATTTTATCTGTTACAGGTGAACAAATCACATTCATGGTTCAGCGTAATCCATTCATTGGTTCACTGATCCCACAGTCCTTCAGGCAGTGTGACAAATCCACATAATTTCCCTGAGTACTAGGTTGTACAACTGTGTATGATTAAGTTGAAAGATGTGTTAAAAAAAGTATAAAAATCCTTATGTAGCTAGACAGCTCCCTATGGCTAAATATCTCGGAAATCTCTGGAGTATTTTGTTATTCAAAGCAAAGTTGGCAGTAATTTACACTCAATAAATTGGTTCCAGATCTGCCTGTTTCAGATGATATCACAAAAACAAGATTTTCTGTGAAACTCCTTTACCTTTTGTCAAAGTGTATTCCTTTTAAGATATTTGCCATCACAAATGTAGATGATATGGAGATAAAGCAACTCTCTTGCTCTCCAGAGCATGACAGAATGTGGTGGATCAACAGTTCATATATGAGCTATGTTTTCATCAAATAAAATAAAATCATTCTTTGTTTTTTTCCAACATTTTGAAAAAGAGGTTTTGGATTCATGGTAAAATCATGGCATATATCATTCATAATGTGTTAATAAATCCTCAATTTTGTATGGACCACAGGGTCTCTGTAGAGAGGTACAATAATTTATGATTTTTGACCAAAGAAAAGTGAAAATTGTCTTGTGACAGTCAGGACGTGACTATGAAGAACTGATTCTATGCATGGTCTAAAGTCCTTTGATCTTTAAAAGCTTTACTGATGCTTTTGTAACAAAATTGGTTCATTTGGTTCAGCATTTTTTCAAAGGCAGATGTGAAAAGAGACAGCTTGTCTGTCTGCAAGTCGTAAATTCATAGCAAAAAAATGGTTTAAAAGTATAACAACAGAAATTATAAATGAATATGGAAGTGTGAAATTAAGAGAAATATAATTTAGACTGAACAAATAGAAAGTTTCCTCATGGTGTTATCAATTGGACTTGAAATTTTAAAACAAACAACAACAAAAAAGAAACATTGAAACAAAAAAGGAAATTATTTACAAGGTACAATCCAGCACTAGCAAAAGGATAGTTTAAATAATGTAATAGTTCTTTTATGTTTTGAACTTCACTAGCTCTGTGATTATGAATGGATGCAATTTCAGGAGAAAGGAGGGAAATATGCATTATTGGGATGACAGTGGTACTTATGTGTCTGCATATGTATGTCTGAGAGAAAAATGCTGCTGTGAAGTTGCTCCTATCTATATGTCCTATTATTAGAAAGAAAAAACCCTAATTACTTTCAAAGGAAATGCATTAAAAGGTCTATAGGCATCAGCTGCTTGACTCCAGATTAAGTTGCACTTGCAGGATGAGGACAGCAAGGTCTGTACTTCTGGTATAAGCATACTCTGTGACCTGAAACTAATTAGCATTGGAAATAACAAAAATCTCTTCTGTCCCTGTCTCTTTGTATCTTTACAGGTAGTATCTTTACTATTTCCATTGGCTTTGTGCTACTTGAGACAATTCTGGTTTTCATGCAGCAATGTGATCTTAGCTGACTGTATATCTCCACCTTTAGACTTTTATTTACTTTCTTTTTTTTTTTTTTTTTTTTTTAATTTCAGGAAAGCTTGAAAATATACAAGATTCAACTATCATAGAGTCACAGAATGGTTTGGGTTGGAAGGAACCTTAAAGATCATCTAGTTCCAACCCCCCTGCCATGGGCAGGGACACCTTACATGAGACCAGATTGCTCAGAGCCCTGTCCAACCTGGCCTTGAACACTTTCATTAATCTAAGCGAACATAAATGAACTTTGGACCATTTTCCTGGTTACTGGCGATGTTTGTAAAAGCTTTTTCTCTTTTCTCTTAGAAGAGGTTGATAAGAATTATTGCTAGAGTATAATATTTTTGCCCTTTTTTCACTTAAAAAGTATTAATTTGCATGTATTTGTCTTTTTGTTCATATCACAGCTTTGCAGCTAGGCGTTTATTTGTCGAACTGTTGCTTTATGGTGCTCCTCAGAAGTACATCAATTCTGTTACACAGATCGGTGCGTAAAACGCTTCCATCTGAAACAAAATTGATCCTGCTGTTTCTTTATTTATATACATAGGCTATCCACAGCTGTCTGAAGATATCAGGTGGAGTTGCAGTCCAAATGTAAAACATTCTTCATTCTGTGCTTGTGTTCATGTAAAATATAAGAATAGTGCCTATTTACATGTTATCATTTTCGCTTCAAGATATTTTTCAAAAACCATAAATTATCTTTTTCATGGTCAAAAGGCATTTGAATGCATGTGTTTATTGTTTTTCTTGCTTGAAATAAATAAACAAATAAATAACATGCAAAACCAAGTTCTAAATCAAAACATTAAAATACTAGTGAAGTATTTGTTCCCTGAAAAACAAAAATGGTAATAGATTTGTGCCCCTGTTGTTCTTAAGTACCTAATATTTTATATAGACTTACAAGAAATAAAACCAAATACTGGAACTTTTTAATAGTGGAAAAGAAATGGCTCAAAAATAGTATGCAAATAGGGTCAGTTGCTAAAACGTCCATTGCATGATGTCAGATTATTCTGTTACACAACTGCTTTATATGAACTCTTCTGGACACTCAGAAGAATTATGGGTTTTAATTTTGCGTATTAAAATGATTGTTTCCATACAGACACATACAGAAAGTTGCAGGCTCTCTTCAGAAAATGAAGTGTGTTGGCAAGGTTTTGGCAGCAGGGAGGGCTACAGGGACAGCTTCTTTGAGAAGCTGCTAGTAGCTCCCTCATGACTGATAGAACCAATGCCAGACGACTCTAAGACAGACTTGCCGCTACCAAAGGCTGAGCCCATCAACAACAGTGGTAGTGCCTCTGGGATAACAGACATAAGAACAGGGAAAAAAACTGTGCCCAACAGCAGCTGGAAGAGAGGAGTGAGAATCTGGGACACTTAAGATTCCAACAGACCGTGTGCTGGAAAATCTAGTCTAGGTGATGCTTTGCTTAAAAAGGTTGGACCAGATGATCCTTGAGGTCCCCTCCAACCTGGTGTTCTGTGATTCTATATGTGATCAAAGCAACTCTGCAGACACCAGGGTCAGTGAAGAAGGGCAGGAAGGTGGTACTTCAGGTCAGGAGCTGCACCATGGTGGGGCAGGCTGTGCCCCTGCAGTCCATGTAGTTCCACAGTGGAGCAGATATCTACCTGCAGCCTGTGGAGGACCCCATTCTGGAACAGGGGAATGCCCAAAGGAGTCTGTGATCCTGTGGGAAGCCCATGCTGGAGCAGGCTCCTGGCAGGACCTTGAGAGAGGAGCCCGCACTGGAGCAGGTTTGCTGCAGAACTTGTGACCCCACAGGGGACCCACACTGTAGCAGCCTGTGCCTGAAGAATTGCACCCAAAGAAAGGTCCCACACTGGAACAGTTCATGAAGAACTGCAGCCTGTGGGAACAACTCGTGTTGAAGTTTGTGGAGGACTCACTCCCATGTGAGGAACCCTGTGGCACAGGGTATGTGTGAGGAGCCCTCCCTCCTCCCCTTGAAGAAGGAGGTGCAGCAGAGACAACCCATGGTAAATTCACCACAGCCCCCATTCCCTGTCCCCCTGCACTGCTCAGGGATTGGAGGTAGAGAACTTCAGGAGTAGAGGGTTGAGATTCAGTTTTATTTCTCATTATCCTACTCTGATTTGATTCATAGTAAATTAAAATGATTCTCCCAAGTTCAGTCTATTTTGCCTGTGAAGGTAATTTGTAAATGATCTCTCCCTACTTTTAACCCATAAGCCTCTTGTCATATTTTATTCCATTGTCCAGCTGAGGAGGGCAGTGATAGAGTGGCTTTGGTGGGCACCTGACATCCAGCCAGGGTCAACCCTCTACAGATATTTATTTATGGGATCTTTTGGTATGGCCTTGCAATAAGCAGGGAAGTAGCATTTTAATTAAACACCACTACATTATCATTAGTACCAGGTGATTACAACTTTTTAGCTCTTGGCACCTTGTGATCTTGTAGGAAATAATGTTAAATTTTGGTAGCAGCAGTGTAACAAAATTCATCATGAGGCTTTGCAGGAGGGTGAACATGGTTGTATTTTAAACCAAAAATGCTTCATTTACTGTCATGCACACATTTTCATAAGCAGCAGAGCATGTGTTTGTCCAAGTAATCTGTCCAGCATTCAAGGATTAAGGAGCACGGGATGAGGCAGGCTGGCCAGGATTCCTTGTCGTGACATGGAGGGCAAGGAGCAACGTCTATTGAGCCATTATCATGTCTCTTGGCTTCTACCTAGATTAGCAGCCATGATAGTTTTGAACATCCTTTTTATATCCCCTAGGAACTCACCTCAATTTGTTTGGGTTTTTGTTTGTTTGTTTGTTTGTTTTCTGGTTCTTTTCGGGGGCTTGTTTTTTTTTTTTATTTGTTTTGGGTTTTTTTTTTAGTTTATTTTCCTCTCAGTCCTATCCAACCTCTATCACTTGGACTGATTCACTTTCTTTTGTCTCTACCTTTGTGTCTTAAGGTGCTCACCTGTTCAGGGTCTGGGCTGTCCTTAATTGTCTTATCCTGAGTACACTGCATGTAACAATGTAGGGATTTTATGGACCTGCTCATCTAGGTGCCATGAATACTCTTTTCTTTTATCCTTCTGCTGTTTCCACATCCAGATACTCCCACTCATTCTCCAGTCTTACTACTATTGCAATTCTCTGCATCCTGGGAGGACATTTTGGGAGCAACTTTGAAGTTGTGCAGTATGTCTCAACTGTGGTTTTAAAGCTTTACTGGGAGCAATAGAATCGGCCACTTTTTAACAGTACAGCCCAAGGTCTTGATCCTTTCATTATTGCACAAAGCAGGAAAACTATTCATAGATAAATATCAAGGATACCAGCTGAGTTTTTAGAAGAAACAGAGTTTGCAGGATCAGTGGTTCCCTAAAAAGGATTTTGGTGACTGGCAGTCACAAAATGGGCATAAAAAGGACCCTTTTCTCTGACCCATTGATTTTTTTTTTTATGTTTTTATATATCACAGAAATCAGATTTTCGAAAGGGACCTCACATTTGGTGACCTTGTGTTAAAGATGTCCACATATGTTAGCACCCAGAAGATTTTACCAAGTAGATCAAAAATATGTCTTATACAATGAGATGAAATTGAAAAATATTTTATAAAATGAGTCAAATTAGTTAGATCTACATGTAATATGATCTCTTGCAACATATACCTCTGATCAAACACAATTAATAATATCAAAGTCATCCCTTCATTGACAGATTAAAATAAACAAAAAGACTAGTTAATAGCAGTCTATTCAGTGGTGTGCAATTTTTTATTTTATTTTTTTTTTCTCATTCAAGATAAAAAACTTAACATGTGAGTATGGTCACAGCCATTCCATTCCCCACATCTGTGCAACCACAGCTACAGTGAACAAATATGAAAAAATACAATTCAACAGGTTTTTAATATTAATTTTAACAAGCTGCAAATACAAGTGTAGAACTGCACCTTTTTTTTTAATGACTTGGTAGTTCTTTAGAATTTACATGAACTCAAGCATCCTTGAGCTGCTGTTTGTATAAAACTTTTTATGAAGGTATTTTGTCAGTATTGTTCTTTTACTGTTACTCTGTATAGTTGTAATTAGAAATTTGGTTTGGCTAAAGAAAAAACTTAATGTTAAACATCTATTCAAATGAGAGTCAAATCTTTGAGGTTTTCTTTTTTTAAAAAAAGTTCTGGTAATTATGAAAAGTAGACAAAATGGCATAAAAAAAACATATTTGAAAGGCATTTTATAGAACCAATAGCGATGTATGTACATAGATGTTCATATGCATTCTTTTATCGCATACATTTCCATAATTCTGCCAATTTATCTGAATGTGTACAGTGATATATCATGGAGACATGATTTAGCAATCGCTAATTGACTGGGAAACACTGAGAATATTTTTGGTGCTGCAGTAATATTAAAAGCTACCTAACAGCATTAATAGGAGTTGTAAATGGTACCGTATTAACTGGTAATTTTCAGAACTTTGTGTCAAAGCAGTGCTTTTATTTTTTATTATTTAATAGGCAAGTGACTGAAATTTCTGCTACTGCAAAATCTACTGGAGTTTTTGTTGAGTTACTGGCAATCTGAGATGGGCAAAAGGTGACAGACTAATTTCAGAGTAGATAAGTGATAGGATTAATAATGAAATCCTACAAATATGTATTTTTCAAATGCAATGTAAATTCGATTTAATGCAAAATTTTTAGATCTAATTCATTGCCTTTAAAAGTGAGTACAATTCTGTCAGAATTTGGGGGGGGTGGTAAGGAGGAAGGTCCCCTTTTTAAAAAAAAAGTGAACAGAAGTCTGAAAGGTAAATGTTAATTTTCAAGGATTTAAGCACTGAAAGATTAGTACTTATTATTTAATTCTTGTAATAAATATTCTTATGATAAAAAAGGAAAATTAACTCATCTCCTATCTGCAAGCCAAATCTAAAATGAGAGTATGCATAAAATTGGAAGATAAACTGTTGCAGTGCTTACTATCTCTTTTTCCTGTATTTTCTGTTTTCTGATTCTCTTTACCTTTGATGGTGATTGAATAAACCTTAAATCTTTGTCTGAATTTTTAGAAAAAAAGGATGATCAAAGTATCATGCCTCTTTCAAAAATTTATTTTAGCACCTTTGATCTTCTGTGTGATTTGTAGACGATGACTTTACAGAGGTGATGCAAATTGTCTTTGCATCTTCTCACAATGATGTTGAGATAAAGAGCACAATTCTTTTTTTTTTTCCCTCTACTTCAGGCTCTCCAGGTCCTTAAAATATGTTTTTCAAAAATATTTCTTCCCTTTTTAAGATGTTTTATTGTAAATATTTTTCCTCGAATTGATACCTCTCAATGACTTCTGTGCTGAAACATCAGCCAATATGTTGGCTCTACATATTTTTAAAAGTAAGTTCTTAAAACATCTCAGCATTATCCTTCTGAATTCTAGTTCTTTCCAACAGGATGCAAGTGGAATAACTGCAATATTACTGAAAATTATATGGAGCTATTGTCACGAATAAATTAATTGAAATGACTGATAAGATCAGCATAAAAGAAACAAATGTAAGGCATACTTAGATTATGTATATACACAAAGCAGCGAAAGTACGGAGAAAGTTGGAGGAAGTAAGTGTTAAATTGTAGAGGTGATCATAGAATCATAGAATCATAGAATAGTTAGGGTTGGAAAGGACCTAAAGATCATCTAGTTCCAACCTCCCTGCCATGGGCAGGGACGCCTCACACTAAGCCATGTCACCCAAGGCTCTGTCCAACCTGGCCTTGAACACCACCAGGGATGGAGCATTCACAGCTTCCTTGGGCAACCCTTTCCAGTGCCTCACCACCCTCACAGTAAAGAAGTTTTACACAGTTTAGACTTTTACCAGTCTAAACTTCCCCTGTTTAAGTTTGAACCTGTTACCCCTTGTCCTATCAGCACACTCCCTAATGAAGAGCACCTCTCCATCCTCCTTGTAGGCCTCCTTCAGATACTGAAAGGCTGCTATGAGGTCTCCATGCAGCCTTCTCTTCTCCAGGCTGAAGAGCCCCAATTTTCTCAGCCTTTCTTCATATGGGAGGTGCTCCAGCCCCCTGATCATCCTCGTGGCCCTCCTCTGGACTTGTTCCAACAGTTCCATGTCCTTTTTATGTTGAGGACACCAGAACTACACACAATACTCCAAGTGAGGTCTCACAAGAGCAGAGTAAAGGGGCAGGATCACCTCCTTCAACCTGCTGGTCACACTCCTTTTGATGCAGCCCAGGATACGGTTGGCTTTCTGGGCTGCGAGTGCACACTGAAGCCGGCTCATGTTCATTTTTTCATCGACCAACACCCCCAAGTCCTTCTCCACAGGGCTGCTCTGAATCTCTTCTTTGCCCAACCTGTAGCTGTGCCTGGGATTGCTCCGACCCAGGTGTAGGACCTTGCACTTGGCATGGTTAAACTTCATGAGGTTGGCATCAGCCCACCTCACAAGTGTGTCAGGGCCCCTCTTGATGGCATTCCTCCCCACCAGTGTATCAATCAAACCACACAGCTTGGTGTCATTGGCAAACTTGCTGAGGGCACACTGAATCCCACTGTCCATGTCACCAACAAGGATGTTGAACAAGACCGGTCCCAATGTTGATCCCTGAGGGACACCACTCGTTTCTGGTCTCCAGCCAGACATTGAACTGCTGACCACAACTCTCTGCATGCGGCCTTCCAGCCAGTTCTTTATCCACCAAGTATTCCACCTATCAAATTGATGTCTCTCCAATTGAGAGACAAGGACGTCATGCGGGACAGTGTCAAACACCTTGCACAAGTCCAGGTAGATGACATCAACTGCTTTGCCCCTCTCTGTAGTTCTGTAGCCTCATCATAGAAGGCCACCAAATTGGTCAGGCAGGATTTCCCCTTAGTGAAGCCATGCTGGCTGTCACCAAGCTCCTTGTTG